CCCTATTCAAAAAAGTGTTATTTTTAATAGCAAATTACAGGAAACAATATAAACATCCAACGTCAGAACACTTAAATTGTTATGGTACATCATTCAGTGTAATATTATCAAGCCATTAAAAACCTCATAACTAATTTAAAACGATGAGTTGGAAAATTATATGATTAGGAAAAAATCAAGACAATACTATATACATAGTCCATATTATCCATTTTTAAAAAATATTTATTCAGATACATGCTCAGAAAAGAGGTTACTGGGAAAGATTCCAGAACTTCCATGGTGAGCAATCTCTGGAGAAAATGATTATGGGTCATTTGTATTTTGGCCTTCATACTTTTATGTATTTCCTACATTAATACTTGCTAATTGTAAAATATACAAAGAAGTACAATTTAATGATCAGAAAGTAAGCTATTTTTAAGGGGAAATTTTTCTCACCTGTGTTTGTCAGTCTAGTCAATATTTTCTTTAATCTGACCATTTATCCATACGACTTAGCATGGGTCAAAATTAATCATGATCCCTTTTCAACCAAAGCTTCCACTTCATCCCTCACTGTGTCAGATCCTAGAAGATCTGACTTTACCAATTAAGCAATGTTAGATCAGCAAGCTATCTTAGCACCTATAAGCTTCCTCTGCTTGTAAGTGACTATGTGTCCACTATGTCATGATTACCAAGATTCTGTTTCCATCTGTTATCTTTACAAGCACGCATTTGGACCATCCTTAGCCTTGACTTGATTGCCTCTGAGGTTAACTTCAAAGATAATCCAAAGACCCATTGTGGTCTCAAGCCACTTTATGATGGTAACAATAGCTAATATTGAGTGATTACTAGGTATCAGCAATGCTAAGTATATTATATACATTATCTCACTGACCCTCACAACAAAGCCACGAACTAAATGTTCTTAATATCTTTATTTTAGAAACCTAGAAACAATCAATCCAAAAAACGATTGAACATTTCCATGCCTAGAGCCTACACCTGGCAAAAATATGAGCAAATGAGGGTGAACAGGGAAAAACATTGCCTTAACACCTATTCTATGTCAGGTATCTCACCTCATTCCCTGCTTACCAAATCTTACAAGGTGGGTACACAGTACAAAGCTAGTAAGTGACGGAAACATGAATTTGAAACAAGTTTTAAACCCCTCCTAGACAGTCTGAATCAAAAGCCCAGGGTCTTACTTCCATACGATTCTGAACAATTGGGACATTTTAGGGTCCTCTAGGGTTAGTGTGAGGACAGGCCCAGCTTCCTAGGACAGTCACTTTCATTTCCAAGTCAGCCCCAGCCTCTGTGGACTGGGCAAGCAATGGTGTTATAGGGCCCAGGGGGACACTGAGACTATACAGCCTAATCCAGTAGACTTTATCCATTGGTGAATACCCTTTAACCAAAACCAACAAACACTTCACATGCCAGGCTTTTTGTCAGGCTCTGGGATTACAAAAAATGAAGTCCATTCTCTGACTCAAGGAGTTGACAGTCTAGTAGAAACACCCATCCTGGAAGGACATACTCTTGGACGTTACCATAAAACATATAAGCACATGACACCCACTCAGTAACTATTGAGCACCACTATGTGCAAAGAAAGTATTGTGTCAAACTTCACCAAGCTTGCATTTTCAGAGCAGACCTAACCCACTTTAATCTACAGTTACCTCTAGCTCCTCAGATTATCAAATTATTAAATCTGAAGATGGAGGGTTCAGCATAATAAATATAATTTAGGAGTTGACAAGGAGAAAGGAGTCATCTGAAAAGTTGCACATTTTCCTACTATTAATCTATCCTTACACCTGTCCCTCCTACTGTCATTTGACCTCTGCTAGACACATACTAGGCATCAGGTAAATTTTTGTTGAATGAATGATTATGCTGCTTGAAAGGAATTACACAAACTCAAATACAGAATAAAAAGCAATGAGTTTTATCACTACAATGATTACCAGAAACTGAGAGATGGGCAAAGGTGAATATGTGGGACTAATGTATAAGGAGCAATTGTCACATACCATATACTCTACTACCTCTCACCATCAATAAGGAAACTTCTACAGCACCAAGGAGACCATTTGGTAGGTCAAACTTCAGTGGCTTAGAATGATGGAAGCAAACTTTTATCTCAGGTACTTAATAGAGACATACGTTTGCATACCTCCTTGTAGGCTATAAAGCAGCTGGGGAGTGAGTTCCCTGCTACATTTGTGAATATATGCATTAACATGAATTTCCCCACTCCACTGTAGGGA